CTTCATGTCTAAAACACCAAAAGCAACAGCAACAAAAGCCAAAATTGACAAATGGGATCTCATTAAACTAAAGAGCTTCTGCACAGCAAAAGAAACTACCATCAGAGTGAACAGGCAACCTACAGAATGGGAGAAAATTTTTGCATCTACTCATCTGACAAAGGGCTAATATCCAGAACCTACGAAGAACTCAAACAAATTTACAAGAAAAAAACAAACAACCCCATCAAAAAGTGGGCAAAGGATATGAACAGACATTTCTCAAAAGAAGACATTCATACAGCCAACAGACACATGAAAAAATGCTCATCATCACTGGCCATCAGAGAAATACAAAACAAAACCACAATGAGATACCATCTCACACCAGTTAGAATGGCAATCATTAAAAAGTCAGGAAACAACAGGTGCTGGAGAGGATGTGGAGAAATAGGAACACTTTTATATTGTTGGTGGGATTGTAAACTAGTTCAACCATTATGGAAAACAGTATGGTGATTCCTCAAGGATCTAGAATTAGAAATACCATATGACCCAGCCATCCCATTACTGGGTATATACCCAAAGGATTATATACCATGCTGCTATAAAGACACATGCACACGTATGTTTATTGCGGCACTATTCACAATAGCAAAGACTTGGAATCAACCCAAATGTCCATCAGTGACAGACTGGATTAAGAAAACGTGGCACATATACACCATGGAATACTATGCAGCGATAAAAAAGGATGAGTTTGTGTCCTTTGTAGGGACATGGATGCAGCTGGAAACCATCATTCTTAGCAAACTATCACAAGAACAGAAAACCAAACACTGCATGTTCTCATAGGCGGGAACTGAACAATGAGATCACTTGGACTCGGGAAGGGGAACATCACACACCGGGGCCTATCATGGGGAGGGAGGAGGGGTGAGGGATTGCATTGGGAGTTATACCTGATGTAAATGACGAGTTGATGGGTGCAGCACACCAACATGGCACAAGTATACATATGTAAGAAACCTGCACGTTATGCACATGTACCCTAGAACTTAAAGTATAATAATAATAAAAAGCATTCCTTTAATAAAATAATGAAAATAAATGCATAATAAAATACCTAGTATGTGTGTATACATGTGTATGTGCAATCTGGAAGCTTTTAATAAAAACATATTTTAACAATATTACTATATTTTAATTTGAAGGTATTTTCTGATAGACAAACGTTTCTGTGTACTTCTCTGGTGATACATCTATATTTGGAAATAATTTGGCTCGTATTTCAGGCTTAATTAGCAAATCAAGTATAAATCTCCATTGTATAAATTCATCTATGAAAAACTCAAATCCATAAGAAGTCAACATTTAAAATTTTAATTAAATATAGCCTCATAACACTGTAGCATATTATTTTTTTTAAATGCTCTTGAGAATCCATGTCTTTCCAACTAGAGAAGCAGGGAGGCATTCTTTACCCCAGTGATCAAGGCCTTTATTCATGGATTCCTACGTTGGCAGAACAATTGAACTTTTTAACTCCAGCTTTGTATGTTTGGCATTTCTGCTACTTGTAAGAATCAGTGTTAAAAAAAAAAAAACAAAACAAAACAAAAAAAAAACCCAGGACGTTGGATAGTTTATAATCTGTATTTTGCTGATATTAAGGAGATTAGCTAATGGTGTGATATTCACTAATATTTATTTTGCATTTGAAGTCTGAGAAAATAAGAGATACGCTTACAGTTTTACCATAGCTTTTGTCTTACAGCTATTTAGTGTGTTCAGAAAAGTCAGTTTAATCTTTTTAGTTTAATTCCTGATTAGCTGAGAAAGAAGAGGTATAATTTTAAAAAGTCATGGAGAAGAGATACTGGAAATAACATTAAATCAAATGCAGCTTATGCAAATCTACTCCAGTACTCTGGATTCTTCAACATTCTTAGTCACTGTAGAGAGCCTTTCCCTGCTCCTTTATTTCCTTCTACTCGCCATAAGTCCAGACGGTTCTTGTGTTTGGTTTTAATGCTATCATCTCACAGTTCGCTTTAGTGGTACTTTGTGTTAGCAGTTCTGCCAAGCATAAAATATAAACCCTTGATCAATATGGCAAGAATGCCATTTCGATTATAAAACAAATAGGAAAATGAAACAAAATCAGAACAACTAAGTAATGGAGAAAATAGTACGTTTGATCACATATGCTTTAAAAGACTCAATATGAGTTGGATTCATTCCATAGATCAAAGAGTGTTTTTCTTACATTTCTTAACTAAAATATATTAAGATTGTGAAAAAGCAATTTACATGTAAAAATGAAAACTATGGCATTATTTGCTTGTAGTTTTGTAATATATGTAATTATGTATACTCATAGTGAAGGACAGAAAAGAATTTGCTAAATTCAGAAAACCAACTTATGATACATTGGCCACCAAATTATCATTTTAATTATTATTTGAAACATTCCTGGCTGACACATTTAAAATGTTCCCAGTCCTGTCTTATGTAACTCAGAAAACACAGATTCAACATGACTGTCAAGGACAACTCTGAATTTTAATGTTTCCATTTTTGGCCTCATGGCAGAAAGAGTTTTATTAACCATTATAAGCTCTGGAATGTCAAAGGCATGATAGGCAGTATAGATTCCACACACAAAATAGATGCGTAGTCATTTTATTCTAAATTGCTTCACTTGAAAATGTAGCATGAAAATCTAGAGAGACGAAGTAAAAAGAAGTGATTTTATAGTGTTCTCAAATGTTGAGGCTTGGAAAATATGAATCCTAGGATAAAAATGCTCATGCATTTGAGATTATGATTCAGCCATCCTAATAAGTCCCCTTCCACCTGCCATAGAGTTTGAATACCTAAGAGCTAGACTGATAGGTGCTAAGCACTGTTGTTTTGCAAGTAGGGACAGCATGTTTGCCAGAAAGTAACAGGAAGTGTCCCAAACTTGTTTCTCCACTCTTGTGTTATATAACAAAATGTTCTAAGAAGCAAACTAGTTGGCTAGAAGTCTCAAATTGCTATTCAGAGAAATCCCAGTAATAATAATTAGTGTAACAGGGTAAAGTCTTAAGGGATCTGGAGCACCCAGGCAAGATATCTCGGTTCTAGAGCAGCCTCCTTTGTTTACCCCTAATTTATTCCTGTGTTTACCCCTGTTCATCATTACAAAATAATTGTACATCATGTTTCTAAAAAGATTGGAAATACTATTTTGTGACAGCCTCACTTAGTGGGAAATGATTTTTTCAGAGCCACATTTGTTAAGTTAAAAAGCCAAATGTTAACAAACTTAACATTTGTTAAGTTAAAAAGGCTGGTTTTACCCCAGGGTTCAGTTGAGACCAAGTGGTTATTTTCTGTTGAGGTTAGTGTAATTGTGATTACACTAAAAATCACGAATTCTTCCTACTATATTGTAATCTTTGTGCAATCAGGAAGGAACAAACTCATCTGTGCATATTTTCCCCAAACCCCCACATGGCACCATTTATCTGACAAATGTTCATTGATCTTTATTTGCTTGTAATACATAGTGAGAAGGACAGAGGGCATCTCTGTTCTAGTGGATTGCATATGATGGTTAAGTAGAGACAAAAGGACTAACTGATATGTAAGACATTACTGAGTAGTGACAATGCTATGATTTAAAAAATGACAAAAATAGCAAATTACTAAGGAGGAATATTGGATAGCTTGCTCGTGAAAAGCTGCTCTGGGTAGGTGACACTTACATTGAGTCCTGAATGGTAAAGAGATTATTTAAAGATCTGGAGGAAAAGCAATCCCGGTAGAGGGAACAGCTTGACGCATTTTTGGAAGAGAGAGAAAACAAGTTGTTCTGAAACAGTGTGAGGGCAAGAATGGTATACAGTCAGATTGGTGAGGTAGGCAGGTGCTAGATCATATAAGAATTTCAGGTAAAGAAGTTAAATTTTCTTTCTTAGTATGATAGGAGTCTATTGGTTTTTATAAATAGGAGTGACATCTGATTTGTAGTTGGAGCAGAAGAGAAAGAACCAGTAAAGGAGCTAAAAAATAGCACATAGGCCAGGTGCAGTGGCTCACATCTGTAATCCCAGCACTTTGGGAGATTGAGGTGGATGAATCACCAGAGGTCAGGAGTTTGAGAGCAGCCTGGCCAACGTGGAGAAATCCCGTCTCTACTGAAAATACAAAAATTTAGCTGGGTGTGGTGGTGTGCACCTGTAATCTCAACTACTCAGGAGGCTGAGGCAGGAGAATCCCTTGAACGTCGTAGGTGGAGGTTGCAGTGAGCCGAGTTCACGCCATTTGCACTCCACCCTGGGTGACAGAGTGAGACTCCGTCTCCAAAATATAGAAAAAAAAGTAGCACATAGTTAGGAGGGTGATCAAGAGAGGGTGTCAAGAATGTGGGAGTGGTCAATTAGGTTAGTAATCAACATGTCAAGTAAGATGCTATAACAAATGGTTATTGAATTTAGGACATGAAAGTTGATAGTGTCCTTTACAAAAGGTATTTCAGTGGGATAGTGGGCAAAGTGAGTAGTAAGATAAATATATGGAGACAGTAACTGTAGGAAACTTTTTTTTCTTTTCAATGAAGAGGAACACACAGGAGGATAGCAGGACAGGTTTGTTTGATCAAGAGTTTGTTTTATTTTTATGGTAATGGAGAACTTCAGTAGAGAAGAAGAGCCTGAAAATGCTAGAAGTGCTGATAGTTTCAGGAGAAAAGTCTTGAAAAGGAGAAAGGGAGTGGGACGAGAAGCAGAACATCCTACAGTACCTTTCTTAACATTAGTCTTCTTTATATACTTTCCAGTTAAATTGACAATAGAAACATAAATTTTGCTGAGCATCGTAGCAGAAAATTTGCTTGGAATGTTTCTAGTTTAATAAAAAATAGGATTACCTGAGATGTAGCAGAAATAAATTTCACCATTTGAGAGCAAATGATTTCAACATACATGTAAGACTATTATTTTAATTTCTTTTAAAAACATTTTATCTTTCAGGTGCTTCAAGAAGATCTAGAACAAGAACAAGTCAGGGTCAATTCTCTCACTCACATGGTGGTGGTAGTTGATGAATCTAGTGGAGATCACGCAACTGCTGCTTTGGAAGAGCAACTTAAGGTCAGATTATTTTGTTTAGCTAACTAAATATGTTGTTTAAAAGAAGTATACCTTGAAAAGTATTTTAAAAATTTAGAATGCAATTTATATATTAAAATACTAAGAATACAATATGTTTGTTAAAAATAATTCAAATTATTTTCTATTTGTGGAAATTACCATTTCATTCATTGTACACTATTTGCTTACATGAGTTTCCTGGACTGGGGTAACATAAATGGATATCCATTTTTTAAATTATATTGAATCACATATATTAGATAACTAGTCTGAGGCATGCTGTTTAATATTTATGTCCTCTTCAAGCCTACAGCCTAAAAGGACAAAGATAAAAAACAAGAAAATATTACATTTAATTAAATAATGAAACATTGAATGCTTTCACTATATTTATTCCAGGAAGCCTTCAGTTGTAGTCTTTATGAGAGTATAGCAGAAAGTTTAAGTCATGGGATTCTGGTTGAAGTAGATATTTAGCCTTTTAAGCCCTCTTCCTACCTGAGTTGTAGTAGTTATGCTTTTAGAAACACATCCAGTACATTTTAACAAAAGATGATGCAGATATTTTAACATTTTTGTATTTTCTTCCAAATGGAGAACAATAAAGTTGTACTGTTAAAAAAAATTGATAGATATATGTACATATACCAAAACATCAGCATTAGGGAAAATATAACAATTTATTATTCTGAATAATTATGCAATTGTGAATGTGTGTGTGTGTGTATATACGTGTGTGTGTGTGTATATATATATATGTGTGTGTGTTTGATATTTATTGTAGAAAAATAAACCTCTACTGTAAAAAAAGTTTCAATGGGGTTTGTACACATATACCAGAACATCAATATTAAGGGAAAACACATAAATTTATTGTTTAGAGTAATTACACATACACGTATATAACTATAGATTATATTTGACACACTCATTCTGACCACCAAATGCTTGCCTTTCCTTTGTGACAAAAGTAAAAGTGATATGTCCAAGAATCCAATCAATGTGGGTTTAAATGGCTTTATCAGCCCAAAGTAGTACTAAACATAGTTTCTCCTACCTAATCTATAACACGCTTTCTTAAAGCCTTATCTCTGCTTTCTTCTCTTTTTGTGTGAAGTGTGCTTTTTTTTATTCCAGTGAAATGTCATTTCCTCAGGTTACTACTTTAGACTGCTAATCTCCAACAATGTTATCTCATTCTCCATCATTAAATGACAAAGGGAAAATCTTTTGACCAAATAGGTTGGACATGGCTAGAACAGAGCATTTCATATATACTGGTGATTCATGTTAATTGCTTGTGTTTCAATGAAGTTTCAGGGATCTAAAAAACTTATGTCCCTAGATTTTATATATATTATCAAATATGTGATCCTTTATATTATATATATACCCACACACTCATAATAAACTAAAGTGCTATGCTTTAAAGAATTCCGTAATTCTGATACAATAGTAACTAATTGCAGATGGGTAAAAATCTAATACTCAGTATTTACCAGAAATTTTCAATTAATATTAAATAAGGCTGGGAAGCAGGGGTTGAAGGGAGGTTACTGGTTAAAAAAATACTTAAATGCAGACATTGTTCTAAGGCATAGAGTATTTCCATTTAAAATAACAATCCAAAGCACCCATTTCATCATTAGCTGACCCAGTGCAAATAGCTTTTCAATATAATTCATCCAAGGTGATGCTTGTGTGGTTAAGGCATCTTGAAAAACAGTCCACAAAACTCACAGATGGTTGTGTGGTGGGCCTAAACTCTTCTGTATTCGTTTTCTTACTTGCTTTCATTTTCATCTTATTTTCTGCCTTTATTTCTTTGGCCCAAAGACAGCTACTAAATATCGGTACATGTATTGATTACCCCTAATTTGCATAAACTCTATCTGCATTTGTCCGTGATTGCCTACCTCTTTAATGGCTACTGCCTTCCAGTCTCCTCTTTTCTCTTCCATCTCTTTTCCTCTTTTGATGTTCTCATTTCGCCTCTAAATAGCTCTTTAGTGTCATATGTCTTTAAGATAATCTAGGCTAGTGTTTACAAGGGCAGCATTAATAGGAATCAAGTGGAGAGAAAGCCCTTGCTATAATTTTTCTTTCTTTCTCCGTCCTATCAGTTCCCTCAGTCCCAAAGGAATCCATGCTTGAATTCTATACCTTATTTAACCATTGGCTGGGATTGTCCTGGAATGCTCTGTTTTCATTTGACTTTGAAACAGAGATGATTCATTCTTAGGTTCTTTGCAAGTCATATGATCTTGTCTTACCTAGTTTAATTTTTAAAAGCAAGAAGAGGAGGAAGAGAAGATGGTAGAGAAGGAGGAGTAAGGAGAAATCATAAAGTATTAAAAGATCGATAATGTATAAAAACATAAAAAAACATAAATTTAAAACAAATACCCTGGGTATGTGATAATTCTAGGGTAACTTCAGGGATTATGGACTATAATATGTTTCATGCCGGACTGAGAGGGATTCTGGTAGAAGTAATTAGAAAAATTATAGGAAAGAGAAACAGGTATATGGATCCTCTAAAAGAAAAACAGTCATCAGGAATTAGAGAAGGATTTTAGCAGGCTTTTTATTAGAGCAGGGTCTGGCTATCCATAACTTATTCCTCAAAACTTATTAGTGTTGTGTGCCCATCCCACACCTTCTCTTCCTTCTCCCTGGCATCCCACATCACCACAATGCCTTCATTCATTGCACTACAGTTCTGTTGAAATGCTGTCCAGAGGCTCAAAAAGGATAGCCAGCTGTCTTTAGTAAAGAGGTACAGATGGGGGAAACTAGGAAGGGAAGTCCCCATTTAGTCCAATAAGGAAGAGAGATGCATACTTAGTGCTCTGAGTTAGAACTCTAAGAATACTTCCAGTAGAATATATCTGCATGTATTGATTTATTCTGTGAATTCTATTATGATGATATGTTAGAATTTCTCTAACTTTAAAATACTTTTAGAGTCTTCTTTGGAAAAGGTTTGAAGAAAACCAAAGACAGGTCAGACATATGTGCTTAGGAATTCTGAAAGATGACATAGCTTATGAAGTGTAATATTCTGAAAAGTGCATTCTCTTATAATTAGATTCTCTCTCTCAGAGGTTCAGCTTGTCCCTCAGCAATGTTACCACAGGTTAGAGTCTTGTCCTTAACTTCAGAGGCTTCCAGGATGTCAGTGCCTAGAGAGTCTGTTTTGTAGGCAGCGATGCCAGTGAACTAATTTTATTGAGAAATATTTTTATAAGCTAAATTTAATAACTAAAATTGGTCATTTATATAGTCTTCAGTCTTAGAGGTCATTACCACACCTCTTTCTAAGCATTCCACATCCCATTTTAATTTTTTTCAACAAGTACTTGTTACATTCTTACTGTGTCCCAGGGATTGTGTTGGGTATCCAGGTAAGACAGTGGAAAAAAAAAAAGAGAATTTGTCACTATCTACCCTGGTTGGGATGGGTGATTTGAGAGCCTACTGCCTTCCTCGGAACCCTGGAACAATGGTGACCATATCTCAGGCTCCCTCTTTGAAACAGAATGCTAATTCTTTGTCATCCATGGTCACTATGATAGGCAGGTAGGTATTGGAACTGCTGTCTTGGTACATGCAATCCAATATAGAAAATAGACATTAATAAAGTATTTTTTAAAATGAGCAAATGTTAAAGAATGGATGCAACTTATTTATAAAGGCAATAAATAAGCTTTTGTGACAGGAAATTATTCTGACTTAAATTGAAGTTTGAAGGCAATAGATGATTGCTGAGGAAAGTGATGTTTAGGCAAAGATCTCAATAATAGATTGGGGGAAAATGGATAAAGTGTGCATGTAAGTGTCATGGGATCCTTGGATGTCACTTTGCCAGCCAGAAACCTCTGTGGCAGGCAGCATCTCTGCCTGGGTTTTGCTTGTGCCCGCTGGGCTCCTTCCACCCACTCAGCCTGGCAGGCTGTGCTTGGCTTGCACTACTAGCCCAGATCCCATGCCTGCCAAGGGCAAGCCAGGCACAGAGCAGCAGGAAGTATGTGAGCAAGCAAGCACAGGGCCTGGTCACTGTGCACAGCCAAGCATGCCAGCTGCAGCGGAAGGCAGCTCCAGGTGCCAATAAAGGTGGCAGCTCCATGTGAAGCTGTGGCTGGACCAGATGTACCACAAGTAGCTTCTGCTGCAGGAACCAATGTCTGGACAGGGGGAACGTGGTGGCGCCTGAAAGCTCAGAGACACAAGGAACCACAGAGCCCCAAAGAGGGTGTTATAGCATGTCACAGCCCTGGCTTGAGGAGCCCCAAGGTCTGGGCTCTGCAAAGGGCCATGACTCTTCTCTCTTTCTCATTGCCCACAACATGGTGAGCGGGGGGCATGTCTCAGCCCTGTTTGTGTTATGGCTCTTTTGTCCTGCCATTCAGCAGGTCCTGAGTTCTTGTCCCACATCCAGGAAGAATGAGGTACACAGACAACTGGAGGGTAAGCAAGGTGGAGAGGAGCTTCATTGAGCGAGAGAACAGTTCTCAGGAGACCCATGGTGGGTAGCTCTGTTCCACAGGCAGATCATCCCAGGTAGTGTCCAGCTCTCAGTAGAGAGGAGACCCATGGTGGGTGGCTCCTTTATGCAGGCAGGTCATCCTGAAGAGTCAAGGAGACTCAAAATAGGTAGCTCCTTCCTGCAGCTGGTAGTCCCAATGTCTAAGTTTGTCTAAGTCCAGGGTTTTTATGGGCTCAGAAGGGAGGAGGTATATGCATATTGGTCCATGGACACCCATGGATAGGTCCAGAAAAGCACCATAAGTTCTCAATCCGGGCCACAAACTCCACCCAGAACTGGCAGCCCAGCCCCCAGGCTTCAGGCCATTCCTGGCTTGAAGGAGGGGTTTCTCCTTGGACCTGCCCTTTTCTGCCCAGGAGCCAGTCTGCCTCCTGCCACCATCAACATGCCATCCATGGAGCCCAGGCAGTTTATGCCAAGGGCTACCTGCAGGCCCATACCAAGCTACCCT